ACTAATACGAAGGGCTCTTATATTCCAGAAACAGAAAAATAAATACCAGAATTTGACTTTGAGATCTAGCAAAAGTTCAACCACATCCTTGAAGGAAAAAGTTCGTAGTGAATTGAGGATTGGGCTGTTTTTGCTTATACTTAACTATAAAATGATGTTTGCCTAGGTATGGACAGGGTGGAGGCAGTGGGAATATGTGAAATATGTAGAATAAGATAATAAAATCTGACTCAGAGAGAGTCTGAAGTTCAGGATCTCCTGGGTGAGCATTGTGATCAGATGATCTGGCACAGTAGGGTAGAGCGTTGACAAGATGAAGAAATAGCATCATTAGTTAAATGAAGAAAAATATTTAAGTATTACTTTGGAGATTTGTACATATGGAAAAGAGTATGTCTGACATGGTAAACAGACATAAAGGACAACAATGTTTACCAAAGGACATGGTTCTTCTAGAAACTTTCCTGGGTTTTTAGCCAAGAGAATTCATAAATGGGAGTGCCTTAAGACCTAACTTTTAGGTAGGGAAGCAGTAGCTGGGTCTGGAAGTCACTTCCTGATGAAGCTAAAATAGAGGAATGTGTTGCCTGGTAGCCCCCATATCAGACATAGGTCAGGGTACCTGGAGAAGTATATGCTGGCGGCTTATTGTGTATAGCTGTCTGCTTGAGACTGCCTAAGAGTTTCCACTGTTTAAGCCTTGTTTCATAAATTCCTTTTTTTTTATTTTCTATGAATACTCTTCCCCTCTAGATTCTTAACCTCTTAGTCTCTAGAATCAACTTCTCTGCGGCTTCCTGGTAGCTTTTAAGTGTGTCAGATCATCCCATCCTCAGGAAATCTTTTCAAGGTTATAGCACACTATTACCTGCCTCAACTTGTTCACGTGTTAAGTTCACAGATGAATTAATTGTTGACTTCCACTACTTCCAATTTTCTTTTAATCTCCAGCTTCTTGATTCCCTTTAAAATTTGTTTCTGCCTCTGCTACTCTATTGGAACTGCCTAGTTTATATCTGCCGCTGCCCTTCTTTGCTCTTGGCTTCTGTGGTGTCACTGTTCGTTTTTTCCAATCTTGTTAAAGGGTTTTTTGCTAGCATACCTTCTTCCTCCTCTATAAGGATTACAGTGCACTGAGGATCAGTCTCTCCTTTCTTCCCCTCTACCTCTCACTTGCTTTTATGTCCTTTCTCCACCTCAGTTCATTTTTTAAAACTCTCCTTCACAACTGGAACAGCTTGCTTTTCTGAACGAATCTTTAGTCTGTTAATAATTATGTAAAAACCTGTACAACCTCTTGCTACTCACACTGTAAAAAAAATTTTTTACACGTGTTTATGTACCATAGTTTGTATACTGTCTGATTCAAGCTCTGTTTGTACAACCTCGTGTTTGTGTATTGTTTATTCTTTTATCCCTAGAGTTTGAATCCCTTGAAGTATCTTTTAAAATTAATGTATACTACATTACACATTAACCATTATACTCAGTAAATGGTTATTATTAATAAAAATTCAGGAATAAAATTAAGTATTAGGGTAGATTAAGTGGCCTTAGATTTTTCCCATTGACCTTTTTCCATTGATGATAATACTAGCCAACATTTTTTATAGCATTACTAAGTGTTAGGTAACATGAGGGATAATTTTTAAGTTTGTCTTCTTTTAACTCTCACAGCAGCTCTGTGAAATGATACTTTATGTTCTCCATTTTAAGATGAGGAAATTGAGGTTTCAGGTGAATAAGTGATTTGTTCAAGGCCTGCTTAAACCCAGGTCTTTCTGACTCCAAAGTTCATTAACTGCTATACTCTAAGAAAGCTATTTGTTTTCAAAAGTTTTGTTCGTTTTTATTTTTTAAGGAATTCCATACTGGAGTGATAATTCAGTTAAAATCTCATTCCAGGAAGAAATGCCTAAAAGTGCCACTTGATTTACTTCCTGTCTTTATCCATGCCCTCAGTTTGAAGTATCATTTTAAAAACCTGTCTGCCTCTAGCAATATATTTGACTTTTGACACAAAATCAGATTCTTCCTGGCCAGAGTGGCTCAGTGGTTGAGCATTGACCTATGAACCAGGATGTCATGGTTCGATTCCCAGTGGGGGCACATGCCCAGGTTGCGATTTCAATCCCCATTGTGGGGCATGAGGAGGCAGCTGATCAAAAATTCTCTGTCATCATTGATGTTTCTATATATATATATATCTCTCTCCCTCCCTCTCCCTCTCCCTTCCTCTCTGAAATCAATAAAAATATATATTTAAGCCCTAACTGGTTTGGTTCAGTGGATAGAGCGTCAGCCTGCGGACTGAAAGGTCCCAGGTTCGATTCCGGTCAAGGGCATGTACCTGGGTTGCGGGCACATTCCCAGTAGGAGGTGCACAGGAGGCAGCTGATCTATGGTTCTCTCTCATAGATGTTTCTAACTCTCTATCCCTCTTCCTTCCCCTCTGTAAAAAAATCAATGAAATATATATATATATACACATATATATGTATATGTATATTTAAAAATAATCAGAGTCTATAACCCTGTTTCACTTGTGTCAGTTGTCCTTGATTTCAAGAGATAGTGCCACACCATCCCTCTAGAGCAGCGGTTCTCAACCTGTGGGTCGCCAACCTGTGGGTCGAGACCCCTTTGGGGGTCGAATGACCCTTTCACAGGGGTTGCCTAAGACCATCAGAAAACACATATGTAATTTCATGTTGTTTTTGTGATTAATCACTATGCTTTAATAATGTTCAATTTGTAACAATGAAAATACATCCTGCATATCAGATATTTACATTACGATTCATAACAATAGCAAAATTACAATTATGAAGTAGCAACGAAGATAAGTTTATGGTTGGGGATCATCACAACATGAGCAGCTGTATTAAAGGGTCGTGGCATTAGGAAGGTTGAGAACCACTGCTCTGGAGTCTAGTGTATTCTCAACACTGGAACTACCAAACAAGTTTATCCATTAAGTAATGCCAGGAATTGGTTAGCTTCCTGGAAACAGAATTTGTCAACCTGATAAACCAGCTCTTATAATAGCATCATCTTATACAGAATTAAAAATGATTTACAAAGTCTATTTGTCATGGATTTAACTTAAAAAGCATGTGTGTGTATTTACGTCCATTTTGTTTCAATATCTGAGTTGAGACAACTGAAATTCTCAATTCTAAGTGTGGTTACCTTGATACGGAAAACTCCATGCATTCTGCTGCTAGAAATATTGTTGGATGCCCCTATGAAAACACCTACCTAGTCATAATCCTCCTTATATTGATCACAATTTTCTGTTACAGTTGGCTCAATTTTATACATACATCTTTAATAATATATAAGCCAATTTAATGTATAAGCCTATATATACGCCAAACTTCCTAGCCTAGATGTTATTCTCTAGTTTTTAAATCTTGATTGGGAGGTTAAAATACAAAATAAACAAATACCCAAGCAGTTCCCTTGTTTGAAGGAGCCTGTAGAAATAGAAAGTTGTTAGAAAATGAGATAATTGATGGGATATATGTGTTTTAATTTTGACAAATGTCTTTCTGTAAATATCAACTTCCTCATTCTTTATCCCATTTACCTCATTCTTTTGGTACAATTGTATCACTCTCATGCACATTTTTGTAAATATGTATATTTTGAAGTGGAATTAGATGCGAAGCTACTTTATTTTTTCCTGAAGGTTTTTTAATTTTAATTTTTATTTATTGATTTTAGAGGGAGAAAGGAAGAAGCTGGGGAGAGAGAGAGAGAAATATCAATTTTTGTTGTTCCATTTATTTATGCATTTGTTGATTGATTCTTGTATGTGCTCTGACCTGGATCAAACCCTCGAATTTAGCCTATTGGGACGACACTAACCAACTGAGCTACCCAGCCAAGGCCTCAAATCTAATTGTACTGTTCTGAGCACACAAAAACTTCTTCAAGGGCACTCTTCTTTTCTGAGATCATGTAGGACCCCTGAGCAGATTTGGTCTAGGAAGAGGGGAGGGCCATAGAGTGCAGTTTTACTTCCAATACTTCATGCTGTTCTTTCCTTTCCATAGGGTATTAGAATATTTCCAAGGGACAGTGATAAAGGGCAGAAGATAGACACTGTATTTGGGTGTTCTTGATTCTTTTAAGGTGTGCCCCGAATCCTCAGGTGACTCACTTGTCACCAAAGCAAGTATAACAACTCCATCCCTCATGTTCCTTTTCAGATCAACAGATTTATTTTCAACTCTCAAATGCTATTGAAGTGGACAAGGAGAATTTGGAAAACATGGAATTGGGCTGGTTTGGATTCTGGATTTTGGCCAGTTGTCTTCAGTACATGAGAACTCTAGTACTTTATGCTATTTCAAGAAAAGGGGTTTAAAAGTAATGCCAGTAAAAAAAGAGACAATGCATTGCTTGGTCAGTTAGGGAAGAAAAACAATAGAACTGCCTTTTGACTTCCCATGGGAAGCAGAAGGCCTATAAACTTATGACGGGTTGGGAGGAGGGTATTCAAAGGCTAGGCTTGTAAGACAACTTCTGTTCAGAACTACTACCTGAGATCCTTGTTTGGTACCTTTTAAAATGTGCTCTCCTACATATGGTACTTGAACAATAAGCCTGTGACTAACTCCCTTCCATAATCAGCTCTCCATGACTTCATCTTTTCACTCAGAACCCTACTACACTGTGCCGTGTTCTTCAGTTCTCCAACTTTTCATCTGTTTTTCCTGGTTGAGTTTCTGTGACATTGGAAGAATTGCTCTGTTTGAGCACCTCCGTTGCCCCCAGTGAATTGGTAAATGTTGCTGCCTGTGATCTGATTAGAGAACTGTTAAAAATCCATTAAAATTCAAACTGCCATAGTCTGACCTCAGTTACTTTTCTGAGAGATTTCAGAGAGAAATGTATATAATTATAGTAATAGAGCCTGTCGTTTTACCTGGAAAGAACTCCCTGAGTATTAGTCATATAATTTGTGAAAGTACTTTTCTGGTCTGTACTAAAGTATCTTAACCCATGTGCTCTTTTTCATTGTAGATGAACAGGAGGCATTGAACTCGATCATGAAGGATCTGGTGGCCCTCCAGATGAGCCGACGTCCCCGGGTGACTGCATATGAGACCATGAAGAACAAAGACACGGGTCACCCAAATAGGCAGGTATGTGTGGCCCTGGCAGACTTAACGAAATTTGTTGGGGAGGAGTTTTCAAATAGGAAATATTTGAGAAGCCAAGAATAAATACTTTAAAGTAACACTTAAAAGATTGTGAAAAGAAACTTGGCTCAGTGGTTGAGCATCAACCTTTGAACCAGGAGGTCATGGTTTGATTCCCAGTCAGGGCCCATACCCGGGTTGTGGGCTCGATCCCTAGTAGGATTGTGCATGAAGCATCCCATCAATCATTCTCTCTCATCATTGATGCTCCTATCTTCCTTTCCCTTTCCCTTCCTCTGAAATCAAAAGTATATTAAAAAACAAAAAAGATTGTGAAAAGAATCATTATCTGGAATCCAAAGCCTTGTGCATCTAACCTTGTGTATAGTGTTTCATTTACAGAGAATGAGAATAATTCCTTCATTTATTATGGGGACAGTATTTATATAACTTTTCTGGTTATTTGGCCAGTATTTTTTCCAGATTTATGATCCCTAACTCAGAAGACAACTTTACAGTATATACTCAGGAAAATTTAATTAATTTTAGTATTAGCTTATATAAAATATAATTACAAAGGGAAATTTATTTAATAAAATGTCATATAATATATTCTAAAGGTAATAATGAGTGAGTGATTTTATTATTGTTTACAGTTGTTTTCCTTTATTAACTCAGATAGTTGAGAATGCCTATTTTATTGAGAGTTGTGTGGTTCTTTTGGAAAACAGTTTTTATTTTTGTTAACATTTAAACTTAGGTGCTGAGAACTTCTCTGTGCAGTGTCATTTACCTCCCTGTTTCCTGGGTACTTTGGCCTGCAGAAAGGAATGAATGATGGGGAGCTTTCTTCCCTAGTGGGTATCTAGCACTGTATTAGATGGTGGTGTTTGGTGTGTTTGATGAAAACTTGTCCATGACATCCTCCCTTGTGGATCTCTTCAGTATTAGCTAACCTCTCTCCTCATTTGCACCTTGTTTACCCGTTCTTCAGAAGTACCCTTGGCTTCTAGAGAAAGTATGACACCCTTGAAGTTTTTCTGTCCGAGGTCTGCTAAATATGGCCTCCTAGAGTATTTCATGCCTTTAGTAAAACTGGGACCCTGAGTACCTTTTGTTTCATTTTAATAGAAGGATTAGTTTAGAAAGTTGTTTTTATTTTCGTGGTTACCTTACGGAACTAAGGGAACAACAGAATAGGGCCCATTCTTGTACTATTTTCATACGTTATTCTGTCTAATTGTGTGGGTTCTCCCTTGCTATAATTCATTTCTATTCAAAGCTGCTTTTGGAAGGAGCATTTTACCAGAAGTGAGTCCCCTCCCCCAGGCTTGAGCCTAATGACCTCACTTTCCTTCCTGTCTTCCTATGTGGAGTGTGCTTGCTAACTCTGCTCTAGTCAGCTAGCTGATCTTTCTCCAGACTGGACTATTAGCCTGTATATCAGTTCGTAGGTGAAAAGGAGAATCTTTCTTGAGTTAGAAAGCCCAAAGGGACCAGACTGGGAAGAGGAGGGGTAGAGTGGACCCTGATTGATCCTTGAGAGGTATTTACCTCTTAGGGATTTTGCTTAGAGCTAAAAGCCATTATAAGAAAAGTCCTGATTATTGTGCCTACTGCTGTTAGTGGAGTGAAGTCAGTGGTTATGAAGGTAGAAGGCTGTGAAAAAAATTGACTACTGGTTAGGAAGTAATCTTAGCAAGAGGTACTGGCTATTTTGACTCATAATTTACTTGAATATCGTCAAACTTTTTAACTTGCATAGAGGAGGATACAAGCTATTAATCTCAGTTTTTTTGTTTTTAAAGAAAAAACAACAGCAGTAGCTCAGTCCTTGTGAACAGCCCCACAATAACAACAAGCTTATGTGCAGGGGTCAGTGAGACAAATTTTTGGTAAGGAACCAAATTATCTGTTTAAGTTAAAATATTCTTTTGAACCTGATACTAGTGCTGCAAGAGTACGGAGTTCATTTCCCAGACAAGTTGTGGATTTGTAGGGAGTACTGGTTACTTGTTACCTATGTTCCGTGCTTCTCATCACCATTCCTCACAATAATATTACTTGTAAGCAGACTCTATTAGTGTTGTCCAATAAAATTTTAGTAATGATAGAAATGTTCTACATTTGTGCTGTCCAGTGTAGTAGCCACTACCACACATAGCTAAAGAGCAACTGAGAAACTGAATTTTAAATTTTATTTAATATTAATAATATAAAATGTAAGTAGCCATATGTGACTATTATCTTGGACAACACAACTTTATATATTATACTAGAGGCTCAGTGCATGAATTTGTGTATGAGTGGGGGTCCAGCCAGCCTGGCCCCAATCAGGCTGGATAGGGGCTGGGCCTGTCAGGAGGAAGAGATCGGGAGGTTGGCTGGCCGGCCCGCCCCCATCAGACCAATCAGGGCCTGGCTGGCTGGGGGAAGCAGCTGCTTCGGATTGGGGTTGGAAGGCCGATTGGGGGTGGGGCCAGCCCTGCCCCCGAATTGGGTAAGAGGTGCCAATCAGGGGGCCAATGGCCTGGGGGAGGGGCCATGGGTGGTTGTAAATCTTAAAGTTTATATGGAAGAATGAATAGTAAATACCAAACGCCAAGAGAAATCTGCAAAAGAAAACTGTGAGAAATACTTGCCTGAGAAGATAGTAGAGGCCATGATAAGCACATAAACTGGGTGGTTGGCCAGCTGGCCCTGCCCCTGATGTGGTGGGGGGACCAATCTGGGGTGGGGCCACGTGGGGGAAGGGGCTGCAGGAGGTTGGTGGGCCAGCCCCGCCCCTTATTGAGGTTGGGGGGTGATCAGGGGTGGGGCCGGCTGGGAGGAGGGGCTGTAGGCTGATCAGGATGGTGGGGGCCCATCAAGGGCGTGGCCAGCTGGGGGGAGGGGATGCAGGAGGTTGGCCAGCCAGCCCCAACCCCTATTGGGGTGGGGGGGTGCAATCAGGGGCAGGCTGGCCAGGAAGAGAGGGGCTGTGGGCCTATTGTGGTGGGGTGGGCTGATCGAGGACGGGGCTGGCCCAGGGGAAGAGAGGGAGCATTTGGCCATAGGCCCGCTGCTCTTGAACAGTGTTGGAGAGTTCCATCAGGGGCGGGCAGGCAGGGGGGAGGGGCCTTGAGGTTGGCCAGCTGGCCCCACCCCCTGATTTGGCCCATTCGCTGGCCACAGTGGGCGTCATAGTGATCGGTCATTATGGCCATTACGGTCGCTGGCTTTTTATATATATATATAGATAAGGGACTACTGATTTGTTGGGCAAAAATTCAGTACATGCTTGGAGATGTTTAGTCATTCATTGACACATTCATTTCTTTATCCAGGTCATAAGCTTGAGAAGCTATGGAACAAACATGGTGTTATGCTAATTGAAGCGCAAAGTGTTATGCTAATATTGGGTAAAAAGGCAATGTTAGTTTTTTCCCTTAATAAAGTCAAGGCTGTAGAATGGTCTCTCCTGGGAAGTCTAGTAGATGTTTAACTTCTGTCCAGGAGAAATATTCTTCAGCAAAATCCTGAAAGCAGAAAGAGGGAGGAAGTCTTAGTGAATGCATTTCTAGGAAGATGAAGTGAAATGGAGGTGGAGGGAACTTTTAGGGGGGAGAGGTGTTTACAGCTTAGTGCAGGGGTGGGCAAACTTTTTGACTCGAGGGCCACAATGGGTTCTTAAACTGGACCAGAGGGCCGGAACAAAAGCATGGATGGAGTGTTTGTGTGAACTAATATAAATTCAAAGTAAACATCATTACATAAAAGGGTACGGTCTTTTTTTCTTTCTATTTTTGTTTTTTACTTCATAGTCCTTATTTTTCTTTTTTGTTGTTCGACACCAGACTGTATACTGTCATTTGGGATGCACTGATAACAGTGTACCTAATCTTTTACTATTCTGAGAAGAGGAAACTTTATTCTAATAATTTAGCCAACTGAATAATTAAGAATGTTATGTTAATCTTCTTGGGCTCTCCTATATAATGGTCATATTCCTCTCTCATTGTGAAGATAATTAGATGACCATTTCCTTGAATAGTTCCCAAATACCTCCTAAAATTAAGTTCCAATGTAGTGTAGATTTCAAAGGTTTTGGCACTCTTATTTTATTGATTTTAGAGAGAGAGAGAGGGAGAGAGAGAAACATCGATCTGTTGCCTCCTATACACATGTCTTGACTGGGGATTGAACCCACAACCTGGGTATATACCCTGACTGGGAATGGAACCTGTAACCCTTTGCTGTATGGAATGACACTTAACCAACTGAGCCACCCCAGCCAGGGCAAATTTTTTGGCATTTTAAATTTAAGGACAATTGTATTACTGCTAACAGAGTTATTGTGAAACTATACTGATTTAAATTATAATTACCTCAAAAAATGTTGCTTTACATGTAAGTAGTATTGCAACTTAATCCCTTACCCTTATCTAAAATAATCTTAATATATAAAAATCCTGGGTCTTAACTACCAGTCACCACCGAGGCTCAATGAACTGGGAGTCAGTCCTGCTGACTGCTTCTGCTGGAGGCACCGTACCCCAGCACTGACTGCTGAGGGTTCTAGGAATCAGGGCCAGAGAGAGGTCTGAAGAGAGAAGCAGGGACTGATCCATTGCCTCTGTGGCAGCTTTTGATCACCACTTGCCTCTCTCTTTCTCTCCCAGTCTGGCCAGAAACCATGCCTCCATTTCTCTCCAGGCCTCTACTGGGGCTGCTGATCAGCCCTGCCCTTCTGATCAGGCCCCATTGATAGGCCCAGAGACACTGAATGGCATAGAAACTGACCAATCAAAACCAAACCTGGTTGAAGTGTGAGGAACCAATGGCTGCCTAAGAGGCGGAGCTTTTGACGCTGACTGGCATAGAAACTAACCAGTCAGAACCAAATCTGGGTCAAATGAGCAGAGTGGTTAGGGGAAATCAGACAGGCAGGCAGGTGAGTGGTTAGGAGCCAGCAGTCCCAGATTGTGAGAGGGATGTCCAACTGCCAATTTAGGCTCCATCTC